CACTAAGTACCAGCATAAATATGTTGGTATACTTAGCTCTTTAGCAGATACCAGCAAAAAAACAACATATTTCTGGGAAACCTGAACACCAACACCCTGGTTGCACTTATATGGTTTTATTATGAACCATTGTACAGATACTTTTTTTGTGAGGATAGGTACAGTGCACACTACCACATTTAGTTATAAATGCTCTCAAACACTATCTCCTTACTGAATTATAATCTGAAAATTCTTACTAAAGTCTTGGCCACTCGATTAATGAAGGTCCTGTCATCCATTATTAACACTAACCAAATCGGATTTATGTCCGGAAAGTCCACGGATATCAATATCCTCCAAATGATATTGATACTAGGGTTCTAGTTGCTTTGGACATTGAAAATGCATTTGACTGTTCATCGGAGATACATGATGGCAGTCCTAGGAGCTTTTGGCCTTGTTTTTCAAAGGTAGATCAAGATTTTATACAAAACACCTGTAGCATAGATTAAACTGGGCAGGTGCACTCTTTCCTCTGCCCTGTTCGCTTTGGCTATGGAACCCCTAGCGGAAGCGTTGAGGGTGTCATCTGGGGTGACCGGGATCCGGGTGGGCCCTGTAGAAGAAAAAACTAGCACTGTATGCCGATGACCTGATATTTCTTTGTGTCTCAGGTCCCTCCCTTTGAGGCTTTGCAAATCCTTGCTCATTTTGCAGGCCTTAGGACCAATTGGGACAAATTACTTATTCTCCCGATTGACCCAGAGGCGAGAGCGGTAGCAGACCCCGCTCTCTCCTTCAATGGGTGACCAACATTTGTTACCTGGGTGTCGCTATCACTTCAAATACTAGAGAATTTAGCAAATCAACTGTGTGGTCCGCATTGCAGTGGTGTAAGCAGAAGCTGAGGGCTTGGGCCCAGTTGTCTTCATCTTCTCTCGGATGAGTCTACTTGATCAAAATGAAAATTCTCCCGGCACTCCCCAGCCTGGATCCCGAGAATTTTTCTTTTTTTTTTTTCTTTTTAAGCAGTTTGATGCCATAGTATTAACCTTTTTACGGCAATCTCATCTGGCTAATTTTAGCAGGAAATTGCTCCACGGGCCATGGACGCAGGGAAGACTGGCATGTCCAGACTTCTATACTTATTTAGAGGCCATGCTCACACATGCCCATAACTGGTTAATCTCAGACAACATGAATACCTCTGTGGTTTTTAGAGGCAGCCTACTCGGGCTCCTACGAAGCCTTACTCAATTCTTCTCTACAGAGGAGTGTGGGCCAACTCTCTACCTCTGACCCCTGCAAAGCGAGCAGTCACCAAAGCTTGGCAAATCACAGTAATCAAACCTATTGCCTCTAGTGGACAAAGGGCTCCATACATCCCGCTTTTGGTTTAATTCCAGTTCATACCAGACCCTTCCTTGTGGGCCACAAGGGGGCTCAAATACTTAGACCATATATGTATAGGGGGAAAGCTGGTTATGTTTGACACCCTGAAAAAAGTAGATTTGACTTGCCAAACTATTTTTTGTTCCAATTTCTGCTCAGACATGCTTTCCACTTGTAATTTGGCTCTGCGGAGCTTCATCTGGAAATGGACGATGTGGAATCTATCCTTCAGGATGATAGTTTATGTAAACCACTTTCTGAGATTTATAAAGCATTATTGCCATCTATCCATGTGGGGTTGGATACACTACAAACCCTGCGGTGAGCAGAGAAGTCTGATTTAGAGGGAAAGGATTGGGAGGATATGTGGGAATACCCCTTTCAACAACTGACAGTGACAAGGGATATATTAATCCAATTTAAGTTTCTTCATAAGATCTATTTTACTCCACAAAGGTTAAACCTACTGTCCCTTCTAAATGTTGGAGGTGCCCTTGGGACCTTGCTGGATTTACTCATATTTTAGGATTGCCCACAGATAAGAACCTATTGGCTTAACGTAACTCAGTTTATTTCTACCCTAACAACTATTTGTTCCTTTGGGGGGTATGCTTATAGGGACTTATGGAACCACTGGCAGTTAGCAGGGTGGCCCGCACTGTACTGGCCCTTTTGCTATTTTATGCCAGAAAGGCTATTGTGCTGAAATGGAAATCGCACCAAGCCTCTACCTGGTCTTTTTGGAAAAAATTGGTCAACTCAGTTGTCCCTCTATACAAAGAAACCTACCTCTCTAGGGGCTGCCTCCAGAAGTTTGACAAAGTATGGAATCTTTGGTTGACCTCTTCCTCTACCGTAGACTCCCTGGACGATGGGGCTGGGGCCTCTAATGGGGGAGTAGTCAGATTTTGCATTTCCAAACATCACTTTCGTATGAACGGTTTGCTTCTTAATTCACGGGGATTATCTTATCTTGCTAGACATTTCTGCCCCCAAGTTTTTGCATGTGCTAAGGGGTATAGTCATCTGGTCCTTCATACAGGTTATGGAATTGCGGGCCAGGAGTGGGTCTAAGCAGAAGGGATTGTAATGAAAGATTGTTATTTTAGTTTGTTTGGAGGTGTTATTTTGTGGGCCAAGGCCATGTTTTATACTTACCTTTTTCAAAACTTCAAAAAAGAATATATGTAGCAGATTACACACTGGCCTAAATTTATTTAAAAAACAAAAAACCCCCCGCCCCCCTGATTTTTATTGGTCATGTTTTACAGCAAAAAGTAAAACAAAATTTTCTTAAAGTGTCGGTCTTTTTTGTTTATAGCATAAAAAATAAAGCCAGAGGTAATCAAATACCACCAAAAGAAAGCTTTATTTTTGGGGAAAAAACTGCCAAATTTCATTATGTACATCATTGCATGACCACGCAAATGTCAGTTAAAGTAATGCAGCGCCGTATAGCAATAAATGGCCTAGTCATGAAGGGGGGTAAATCTTTGGGAGGGCAAGTGGTTAACAAGCTAAAAGTGAGCAAATAGGAGAAGATCAACGCTAGGGTTATATACACTCTAATCTTTGGATGACTTATTTCGTTCCTACAAATATACTCTATGGGGCTGCAAAAGAGCAAGGATATTGCAGCAATCATGTTTCTAGTGCAGAGAACATATATAAACATCAAACTGTCTGGGCAACATTTTCTTCTAATATCAAACTTAATACTATAACCAATTATTACACCTCCATATTCAAGCATGTCTATACTGTAAATTATTTTTATGAGCTGCTGTAATAAGAGAACTAAAGACAAACCAACCAAATGCTGGAGTGAAAACATGACAAACGGACCCAGGAATAAAGCCGGATAAACAAAGCTTTGCAATTGACACTAGTATAGAAAGCCAAGTAGACGCTGACATTTGGAAAGTAATACAGAGAGCGTTTCCAAGACCAGTCAGTACACATCTAGTTTAGCATTACTCTGCTAGCCCCTCCCCTCTTCACAAGGCTGAAAAACACAACTGTTGCCCAGATCTCTGCTTAAACGCAATCCTGGTATGATGTATACAGGCAAATGTTGCATTTAGATCAGTGAAATCTACATTTTTCTTCTTCTTACATCAATAGGGTGAAAATCTATAAAAAGCTATGTAAGTCATGGACTTGAAACCTAAACATACTACTTTCATTGTGGGGTGACCTAAAGAGGGCTGTGCAAAGGAGATGACCTCGCAATCTGAGGAAGAAAGCGCAAAGATTCCCAGCAACACATTAAAGTTGTTCTAAAGGCTCAAGTTTTTTTTTTTTTTTTTACCTTCAAGCATAGAATGAAAAAAAACCTGGGTGCAGCAACCCCCTCAGTCCCACCTAATACTTTCCTGAACCCAATCTTGATCCATAGATGTGCACAAGAGCAGAGGCTCTCCAGGGTCTCTCTCATCACATTGGCTCACACAGCAGCAGCCACTGACTCAATGTCCATTCAGAGGAGCATAGCTTGGGAGAGAGCCTGCTTGTGTGCCCCCATAGCAAGAGGCTTGCTATTGGGGGCACTCGGCGGGGTGGTATCAGGGCTGCTCTGTGCAAAACCATTGCAGAGGACAGGTAAGTATAACTTTTTTTTTTTTTAATATTATTCCTTCCTTTAGAATCACTCTGTGTTGCACAGATTATAGGCCAAATTAAGAGTCCATCCACACCAGGATGTGCGGACATGCATTAGTCAACGCATGCCAGTGCATTTACATTGAAAAAACAATATGTTTCAATATGAACAGTTCACACCAGCATACTGCACTGATGTGAGCTGTCCCGTGCTGAAATAAAAAAAAAAAATGACAGCACTATTTTTTTTCGGTGCAACACAATGGAATGTATGTAAACACAATACACATATATGCATGAGTCGAAACAGTGAGGTTTTCTTATTATACAGGATTTATATAGCGCCAACAGTTTGCTCAGCGCTTTACAATATAACGGAAGACAATACAGTACAGTTCAATACAAGAGGGATAGGAGGGCCCTGGTCCTCGGAGCTTACAATCTAGGTTTTCTTCTTTCTGAATGATGCTTAGTGAAGGTGCAATTTTAAAAAGGCAACACAACACAGCATGCAAATGCATGTCAATGCACATGCATTTAAAAAGGACATGTAAGGTACACTTTGCAGTATGAATGGACCCTTAAAATGAGGGGGAAAAAAAAAAAAAAATATATATATATATATATATATATATATAAAAAAAAAAATATATATATATATTTTGGTTTGATTTTTTTTTTTACATCTCAAACACCTGACATTTTTACAGGGGTGGGTAGATGTTTTCATATTCAAAAGTTCCACTAACTTTGATTTAGTGGTGTTTGGTTTTTTAGCACTTCAATCCTACTGCTAGACATCTGGCCAAAAAATACCAAGTAAATGTGTGTCATTTATCCCTAACACTCATACTAACCTTCTAGACCAAGATTTTCCTTGCTCATCTGTCTTTTGCTATGCTGCCTTTTATTTGAAAACTGTTACAACGAATACTCCATGTTTAAAACATGGCAGGCCAAATCTAACGAAACAGTCTTCAGCGTGAAAGAACATGAAATCCTTGGAGACAACCATATTTACTTACTCTGTATACTTCTTCCAAGAGAAGCTTAGCACAGCTCTTCCCCAGATCTTCAGGTAGCACAGCAGAACCCTGCCCCTGAGGGTTCGATGCAAGTTCAGCACTTAGGAAGTATCCTTCTGTTGTTTCTGCCACTAATGATAAGCCAAAACCAGGAGACCTGGAAATGAAAGACAGATTTGACAGGCATCTTCAGACAGCAATATATACTAAGGTTATTCCACAGCTTAGAAATAATACAGCATAAACTTTACAGCCATCACCTATACAGCAGGCTTCGACAACACAAATGCCACGTAATACAAGAGAGGCATACTGAGAATCCCTCACCATTTTGGGATTGTGTAAAATTCCTAGTTACGCCACATTGTTCCAATTGCAGCGTGAACATGTTACTCAGAGGAAAAAAAAATGAAAAGTATATTTTGACCCTTATGTTTACAACAGGTAAACAATATATTCTGTAATTCTTACTTCCCAGAATGTGTCCCTTTCAGATGATCCGTGTGTATATAAATATCTGGAAGAAATCTATTTAAAATACTTCTTGCTGATTCCACGATTCGGTTGCCAATTTGTGGAGAGACTCGAACTGAGTATCTGTTAGTCAAGGGTTAAGGAGCCAGCTACAGCCCAACAAAAAATTGAAAACAATACAAAAAAGAAAGCTCATCGGCACACAAAACTAAGGACATAGGTCTGAAAAACACACAGCTGCTCACATAGCCAGACAATGCTTTAATGTGTCATTACTTCAAGCATGAAAATAAATCTGAGATTTCCATCTCCACCCAAGAGGGAGTTTACATTATAGCAGTTATTTCTTGCAGGACAGAAAGCTTTATTCTTCCCTCATTATTTATTTGTAGACTATGCAGCAAATATTTAACTTACAAGCTTTTAAAATGAAAAAACATAAGTTTCATAAGTTATTCTCTGATAAAGTATAAAGTGTATACAAACCCAAGAAGAAAAATTTAATATTTTGCTGGTTACCAGCCAGATATAGTTGATGCATTAGGTTTGTTTTTTTAATTAAAAGCTTCACCTGTTGATGCTGCCAGTATTATTACCATGACAAAACTCATTCACCATTCTACATCTATGAAGAAGCCACACGGTCACTCCAATCTGGAACAGAATGTGTTCCTACATATCCAGCTTACATATGTGTGTCCCATCCACATGCGTTTTTAGAAAAGGGTTGCATGCGAGTTTTGTAGGAATGCGTTTCAAATTTGCATTGTGGAAAGTGTTATGAAAAGGCACATGTGAACTGTGAGGATGTTCAGATGTAATATATTATAATAAAGGGAATGCCGTTTTCATTGTATTTCTCTGCAACACAGATGGGGGGGGGGAGGATTTGGGGGGAGAGAGGGGAAGTGAAAGAAAGAAAGGGGGGGGGGGGGGGGGGGGGAGAAAAAGAGGGATCAAAAAAAAAAAAAAAAAAAAAACCTCATGAAATCTGCATTGTTCTTCACAAAGAAATGCTTGTGATTCATGTGCTTTGAATTACAAAACAAACTGAGCAATTTTGAAGCACATGTGTGTGAACCTAGGCTGGGGAGCCTTGTTCACCGGCAAAATACAATTATCATTGCCAGTGGCTCCTGGTACCGTCAATCACAGCCAGTAAGCCAATGAGGAGGGAGCAGGATTGGGGCCGAGCCACACTGTGTGTGAATGGACAATGTCCATTCACAGGAGCATGGCTCAGGAGAGCCAGCTTTAGTACCCCCATAGCAAGAGGCTCGGCAGGGTGAGGAGCCAGGACCGCAAAACCCACCCCCAAAAAACAAACAGACAGGCTGCTTGTCCTGAAGTCTACTGACGGATCAACATCAGTACAATCAGTCTTGCCCATGGATGGATCGAAATTTGTCCGGATCCTGACAAATTTTTAGGACTACAGAACCCTCACTCTATAATGTGGGGAGGAGTGCGAGAAGGTTGATAACCACTGGAGAGTTCATTCATTGCAAAGGAGTTAAAAAGAACACAAATTTGCTGGTAGGACCAACATTTTTTTTTTGTTGTTTTTGTACTTGCCCCGAATGAAAAATATACTACCAATGTACCCATCACATCAAGGCACTGGTAAGCTGCAATATAGATTTTTGTTTTTGGGTTTTGATGAACTTTGAATTTCATGCGGCATGTCTGTATAGTAAAGACTTATCGGAAAAAACAAAAATTTAGAAAGGGCCAATCTGTATCCTATACAAAATGGCATATTCATGTCCCACACTATACTGTAATTGACCATGTGATTAAAAGGGTGATGCAACAACCTCTAACTGGCCATGGTGTACAAACATGGATGAAATGTGTTGTCAACACAATGACAAGCTTGTTTCAAAGTGCAAAGCACTTTGCTTTTGTGTGGGCACAACAACATTTCAGGATCTTTTCTCAGCCATATGATAAACAGCAAATAGAGCAAACATATAAAATAAATCACCCACCGATAGTAACGAGAACTGTACCAGAGCCTCTCTGACCCAACTTTCCCTCGAAAAGGTTACAACAAGTATTTACAGCAATAATATCAAATCCGTTATTGCAATAGGAGCATAAAAAAGACACACTGTTAATAGGTGTACTAAAAAATAGATTACATATAATGTACAATTCGTATTTGAGACCATGCACATGCATATTAGCAACACTGGCTAATTCATGCAAGCAGACTATTGCACCAAACAAGGCTATGTGGACTAGCACTGCAGGACTACGAAATGTACTCTGTAATCCTCATCTAAAGAGGGTATAATATATCAAGGTATTCTGTGCAACTCTAAGCAGCAGAACACCATAAAGAATGAACAGAATGGGGAAATGTCGGGTCACGTCACCAAAACTTTAAGATGGTCCATCTCCATATTGCCAGACTCTATTACAACCGAATAAAGGGACCGAATGCGGATCAGCAGACAGGACCCCCCAGTGACCCCAACATTATGAAACCAGTGAGCATTGAAAACCAAGTGAAAAGATTAAAAAAAAATTAAATAATCACTATACATTCTAATAAAATGTGTAAAATCATGCACAATTGGGCACAGATTCCTAGTCCTTAAACTCACAGCTTAGAGGTGCTTGTGGCTTATGTAGAATGAATATACGCAAACTGTAAGGGGACCAGAAAGTCTTGTACACACCTGTGTGCAATTGCAATAGGTCTGGGCATTGCCAGGATGTGGATGCATATCAATGAATGGTAAAAAGGCACAGAATCACAATCCAAGTCCCAAACAATTTGTCATTGTAGGACAACAAGCGCAGAAAGTAAGGGAAACAGGAGAGGATATATCAAGATGTAAAAAAAAAAAAAAAGAAGGGCACAGAAGCAAAAAGGTGGGGAAGGGGACCACTTATGTCCAACTCGAATACAGTGTCAACTGAAAACCAGAGTTCCATTAATAATAGTGCCCCCTTGTATAGTGTGTGCATCAATGTATTTAGTGATACTTGTATACTCAGTGCATGCATTCAAAGAGAAGAACCCATAGGCATATTTAGTAAACACTGTATCAAGAGAGACAACATAGGGGACTAGAAATAAAAGATATGTCAGGAAAAGAAAAAAAAATACAAAGATAAAAAGGTAACAAAATGTGTCAGGCTGTAGGGTTCATCCAAGAGCTGTGTCAAGGAAAGGTTTGTATTTACTGCTCCAGAACTGCAACATACCGCTGTTGCACTTCTTTCCCAACTAGGAGATGCTGAGGTGGTCTCCAGAGACATGCAGCATACAATGTAAATACTGTGGAGCCATACAGGAAGATTCTCTCTGTCAAAGTATAGGAATGCAAAGAAATTCTGAAGAAGTTGCTGAAGGATACGCTACTCCTCGGATTCGCTTTATTTTGCCAGGATCTGTTAAAAGAACTGGTCTCAGAACCTTTCTTAATGGACAGGAAAAGATCACCTCTCCTCCTCCTCCAGGAGGCATTCCTCTTTTCACAACCTAAAGAGAAAAAAAAAAAAAAAAAAAAAACACAGGACTTTGGTACTCACTGTAAAATCCTTTTCTTGTAATCCACTGAGGGACATAGGAAGTCTTTAATCTAAAGTTTATTTTGCCACCTACAGGATTATTGGACACCTGCAAATAAAAATAGTCCTGGCCAGTCCAAGATAACCCTCCAACCATCAGCATGTCTCTGCATGCAACATAAAACACACAGGGGATTTGTGTCCCTCAATAGACAAAAAAAAAAAAAAAAAATTAAAAAAAAAGATTCCGTAGGGAGTACAGAAATCCTATTTTTTCCCTTTCTCATCCATGGAGTTAGACAGTGGAAGAAATTCATGAAAATTGAGCATGAAAAATCTGGTGCAGTTTGGCATAGAAACCAATCAGCCTCCAGGTTTTATTGTCAAAGCTTAAATTAAACAAGCTGAAGTTAGAAGCCGTACAAATATATATATATAGCAGTACAAAATTCTTAGTGCACCAGTTTAAAAAAAAATCTTCCCCAGGAAGTCTTTCACTTTTAAAATGTCCAAAAGCTGTCCAACAGAGGTGGGCAACACAGCAAGAAAACGCTAAAAGGCTTAGGAAAAACAACAGCTGCCTGAAGGACTTTACACCCAAAACTGCCAACAGGTGAGGCCGCAACATCCACTGGTACAAAAGGCTTCATTCACACTGGCACTCCTGAATTTAGCTTTTCTAAATACAGAAGTGATCTGAAAATTATAAAGAACTTTTACATTCCCTAGTTCACTTTTTTTCTGCATTTCGATGTTCCTGCTTTAGGAGCATTTAGTTGTGTTCCGTGTCTAATCCTATCCTGGGCACACAGAATTCCATTTTCTCTAAACACAGCTAAACAGACCAAACCTAAAAATGCAGTGTGAATGGCGACCAAAAAAAAAAAATCCTTACCTGCATTTATATGCATTTAGAGATTCTCTATAAACACATAACTACAGGTTTGACACTGCCATTGTGAATGAGAGTGTAGAGAACATGTGAAAAGAAGGCCAGGTGGCAGCCTCAAAAATCTGGGAAACAGTTGCTTGACGTCAAAGTCCAAACACCACTAACAGAGTACATCCTGACAGGAAAAGGTGGAACCTGACCTTGAGACCATAAGACTATATGTTTTTTCTCTAGATGGTGGAATGACAAGCTTGAGTGCCCTTAT